GGAGGGAAGGGGAAAGGAGGCGGGAGGCGGGGCCGAGCTGGAGCTGGAGCTGGAGCCTGAGCCGGCGGTTGCAGTGGAGGCGGTGATGTCGGTGCAGGTCGTGTCAACAGCGGCTGCCGCGAAAGTGCCTGAAGTGGACCTGAAGGACCTGAGCCCCCCTGAGGCGGAGCCGCAACTGGGACTGAGCACGGCGACCGTGAGCGCCATGTCCCCTCCGGCGGGCGGCGGGGACCCAGAGGCTCCAGCNCGCCGCGGAGCGGCCCCCAGCCCCTGGTCCGGGCTCGGGGCCCGCTGCTGCTCTCAGCCCTGCCGCCGGGAAAGTGCCTCAGGCGTCGGCCATGAAGCGGAGCGACCCTCATCACCAGCACCAGCGGCACCGCGACGGCGGCGAGGCCCTGCTCAGCCCCGACGGCACCGTTACCGAGGCGCCACGCACAGTCAAGAAGGTATTGGGGCCGGGCTGCCTCTCGTGGAGAGAGAGAGAGAGGAGGAGGGAGGGGGAACCGCACGCAGATCCTCTCCGCTCCGCACCACCACCCTCCACACCTTCCCTTCTGATCACCGAAGCAGAGACCCCGTTTCCCCTTAAACCCACTCTCTCAGAGATGCCCCCACCCGGCCCCCAGTGCTGGAGATCAAAGACTCCAGCCGGCACGGTGGTACTTCGCTGTGAGTAACATGGAGGTAGCGCTTTCCACTACTACTTGGAACTGCAGGGAGAAGAGAGGCACCTAATACTGCCCATTCCTGCACCCCCAGCATACTCCCGTGTTATTTTTCAGACTCTCCGGGAGAAGACCCCTATGTACAGAAAAACCTTAGGGCTTATGAGAGTTCACCCAACAATAAGGGTGGAAAGATCTTGTCTGATTGTAGTTGGGAGTAAGCAATAGTTAACTCGAATTGAAACCCTCAGTTGTCTGGTTTCTGTGCAGACGATCACTTGATTCTTTTCTGTGGTCAGCTTCCATAGAGCAGTGTTGATGCTGTGCCCTTCACTCTAGATACTGCAATATCCTTGCATCTTCCCTGAATGTAGAAGGGTAATGGAGAGATTCTCTTCACTCTTCTCAGAGGTTTATCCTTTCTGCTCAGTAGTTGGCCACCAGGATTATTAGACTGTATATGGAGAGAATGATTGTTTTATTGGTTCCTTTTGTCATTATCTGAAAGTGTTAGGAAGAAATGCTTCTACTTTTGGGAAAGGTTATTATTGTGGGGCTTTCTGTCTCAGCTGTTAGCTTCTTTCAGATATAGTTTTGAAGAGGCAGTAGCCTTAGAGCACCAGGGATAAGTGTGCCTAGATGTAGTATACTTCTGTGTTACCCTTACGATGCTATGTGTTGTGTGTCTCTCCTCTCAGAAAGCTAAATCAGCACAGAAAAAAAAGGGGCAATTATTGGAAAAGACAGAGAGACATGGATCATGTAAAAAAATGATTGTGGCTCTCATTTCCAAGATACGTACAATATGAACACAGTGATTTATGTTTTTTTATTATTGGAAATGATTTTATTTCTTTACGAGAACAGCATTAAGGTGATGTAAAGTTTGCATTGGTTTCACTGTACGACTCAGCTGAATTGGAACCTTGGATCCAGCCTAACTTTTGTTGTGATAACCTCATGATTAAGGCATAAAGCAGATAACCCTTTCATTCTGACTACCCAAATATAGGTGATTAACAAACGATGTCAGAGGCAAGACTGACGGAATTTGTTTAATGATGCTTTAGGACTGTGTCCTTGTCGTTTGCAGTATGAAATTCCTCTGGGAGGAATTATAGGAGGAAAGACAGGCAGCATGAGCTGCTTCTAGTATTTAGATGTGAGTCTGGAAATCTAAAACACGTTTCTGACTAGTTCATTTGCTTTATGACTTTAGCCAAATTTTCCCTGTGATTAAGGGTCTTTTTGTGTAAAATGTGTATGTAATTTGATTAGCTCTCTTGAGGGTAAGAGTGTTTAACAAATTGTTTTTGGAATGGGATTTACTGTCAGGCAGACCTGGTTTGAATCCTGGTACCCCTGCTAAGTAGCTTGTGGGTAATTTCCAAATTCTCTAAATCTTAGTTCCCTCATCTATAAAATGAGGACACTAATATGATTGAGGACTAGAAATATTTGTAGAGGGCTTTGGCATTAAACTTGGCATATATAGTAGTGTGGCTTAAGGAATAATAGCTATTGTTAAGAATTAATTTTATTTCTCCTTCCATTATAGCTTACGTGCATGCCACTATGACTACCTCTGAATGGTATACACAATTTAATAGATTCTATATAAAGTTTAAAAATCTCAGGCCAGCATATCAGTCTTTTTTCTTAATTCTAGGTGTGCTTCTTGACCATTTTCCTTGTTGCTGACCCACCTTCTTCCTGTTTTTCCAGTATCAAAATGTAGTTCCATGATTCTAGGTTTACTCAGCACCTCAAGGCTATGGAAGACAGGGCCAAGCTTGCTGTACAGTGTCGTGGCTCAGTTGGTTGGGTGTCATCCTGTACACTGAAGGGTTGCTGGTTCAGTTCCCTGTTGGGGCATCCCGGTTGGGGGGCATGCAGGGATCAAATCAATCGATGCTTTGCTCTCACATGGATGTTTCTTTTTCTCCCTCTCCCTTCCTCTCTCTAAAAATTAATACAAATATTTTTAAAAAAATAACTTCTCTGGAAGTTAAGCAGGTACAACTCTGGGCAAGAATGCAGCTGTAAACACAACTAAAGGCATTGTCAGGCTACTTTTGAGGGGTAGAATCTTTAACTTTCTTGATATTGAATTGGTTAAATTATAAGTACATGAAACTGCCCTTCTTTCTTCATAATGAAAGTCACCTCACCAAAGGACTACAGTGTGACATTTTGATATGTCGAGCCTTTCTTGATTCTTAGATTGTTTATTTAATCATTCTGACCTTGACTCCCTTCTGCTTTCATATAGTATAGAGAGAGACTGGGGGTACTTAGGAATTGAAATAGTTATAATTGGCTATGTAATTGGTGACTGTTGTGCTTTAATTTTGTAACTCACAAGTTTATTTATCTTAAGTCACATTTCCATTGATGGTTTCCCTTACTCCATTCATATATCTGTCATCATTTTTCTTAGTTCTGTTACTCTGCTCAGCCACACAAGGGAAATAAACTTTTTACAAGAGCCAGAATTCCCAAGTGTAGTAGTTTATAAGAATGAACATATGATGTGCAGGTTACTCAGTCACATCTTATCTTTGGCACAAGTTACATCGTGTAATTTATGATGCTCTGAGGACTGGATCTTGTCATTGTGGCTCTGATATATTTGTATATAATGTTTTTCTTCATAAGCTCACATGAAGTGAATCCAACAAACCAAAAATCTCTATAAGAAGTGATTGGTGAAATGGGAAGAGAAGTTCCACAGTGAATGAAGTGGTAAAGTTGAGAGGATTTCTTCCCTATGTTCTTAAAAATGGGGTTATAGGAATGTCACAGTACAGCAGGGAAAACAAGGCAGAAGAGGATTTATTGTAGAAAAGTTAAAACTTTCTGACAGTAAGGCTGTGAGCCAAGAATGATAACTAGCGTGTGCTTACGTCAGTATTTGTAATGATCATGTTCAAGCAGATTATTATTATTTTTTTTGGCAAAGGTATCGACCTTGCACTCACTTTGTTGCTGTCAGCAAAGGATGAGTTGAGCCATGTTAGTGCTTTCTTTCCTGAATTCTTTAAGCTCTTGACTTGGTTAATTATGGATTATGAAAATGTAATCTTTTGGATCTAGGCATGGGAATGTGGAATCAGTGTGATTCCTTTTGCCATTTAGGAAAGTACAACCTTGCAAAAAACATACAGTGAGGCAATTGGCATATTTGCCTTAATAATAGTTACCATTAATTGGCCTTTTATATACCAAGAATTGTTGTAGGTGTTTTTCTAACCCTGACAATAACACGTTGAGATATAGGTAGCATATCTCCACTTTACAAATAAGGAAATGAGGTCCAGAGAGGTAAAGTGCCTTGCCCAAGGTTATACATCTAGAAAGTGGCAGAAGTAAGACTTAAACCTTTGTGTTAAACCTCTGTTTCCAAAGCCCATGTCCTTTTCATTATGTCACACCAATTCTTTCTAACTTCTTTTTTTAAAATCCTCAACAACAGACATGCTCATTATTTGAGAGAGAGAGAGAGAAACATTGATGTGAGAGAAACATCGATTGGTTGCCTCCTGTATGGGCCCCAAACGGGACTAAACCCGAAACCCAGGTATGTGCTCTGACTTGAGATCAAAGCCACAACCTTCGGTGTATGGGATGACACTCCAACCAACTGAGCCACATTGGCTAGGGCCTTTCTAACTTCATAGATGCTTGGCTCTGGCCTGCTCCCAGAAGTCTTTGAGAGTATTCTTGAATATTAAGGTATGTGTGTTTAAGGCTTAGGTCATCCCAAAACCAAGTAAGGGTCTGAGTCAAGGCTTTAGGAAGAGGATTGGGGAAAGTTGTACAAATGTAGAACTACAAAGAATTGTAAAATTAGAGAGGAAGAAGAGCATCTTATATAGAAAAAAGCATTTTAAGATCAATGATGCATTTTCACATTAGTAATTTACTAATAATCTGAGAAATTTATTTTTTTATTTTTTAAATTATAAATAAATATAGAGGAATATGCTTCCTCTTCCTGTCCAGCTAACAGTTTTTCCTTGTTCTTTAAGTCCCACCATCTTTATGAATCCATCTCTAATTAAACCTTTAGCAAGTTAGAAAGGGAAGAATGTATTATACATTCCTACTGTGTACCAGGCATTAAATTAGAGCTTTACATATACTATTTTATTTACTCCTTTTAAGAGTTCTCAAAGAGAGGTAGGGTTATCCTTGTTTTATTGAGGGTTAAGGAGATTAAGGAATTTGTCTCAAGGTCACACATTTAGTAATGTGATGGAGCTGACAGAACTCTAATCTGTTTGACTCCAAAGCCTACACTCAGTTGCTTTTCAATTGAAATATTTTTCTGTTCAAAACTCATTAAATTTTAATCTGTGTATTTTTTGTGGATGTTTTTGTTATTTCACGAATAGGTAGTTTGTTTTTATTTATTGAGTTTGTTTAATGGTCTTACCATATATTTATGTGAACATTGATGAAATTTCTGAGAAAGCAGCCCTTTTTTTTTGTATTATAATTTGTGAATTTTATTTTCCTTGAACCTGATTGGGAAAGATTGAACATTAAGAGCTGTTTTAGGAGGTTGCTCAGAGCTGAAGTTGCAATTGTGCATTTGATATCCTGAGGAAAAACTTAGGTCCTTAATATCCAGTTAATTCAAGAAATGGATAGTTCATGAATAAAGGAGAGTAAGAAAAAAAAGATTTGTTGGGATCTTTATTCACACTTGTCAAGGTGATTTATTTATTTATTTATTTAAAATAGGTCTTTATTTTATTTTTATTTTTTAAAAATAT